GCAGCCTAACTTTGGATGTCACAGAGCCTGCTTGACCTGTTCCTGGCTCAACTGATAGAGACCATAATCAGTAGGGTGTGAACTCCACCTACAGGAACCAAATAGATGACTGCAGGCCTGTTCATTGTCTTTAACAGCAGGGAGCGGGCCCACTGCAGTCTGGCACCCTCAGGGAGGGTGAGCATCTGAACTCCCCCTACAGGCTCTTCTCTTGTGTCTTCACAAACTGTCTCCATGTACTTTCACAGTAAGAGTAATAACAAATAACATCCTAGGAACTTTTATTCCTCACAACCACCTTGCCAGGTAGAATTATCACCCACACATTAAAGAAGCTGAGGTACAGTGGTTATGTAACCCATCCATGGATCCTTTTCCTGGCACCTGCCTCACCTCCCTTGGCAACTTTGTACAATACAACAGTCTATGGACTAGCCTTAGAATCACTGCATTTGAGAAAGGTATTGTATAAACTGGGGTCTGTTTGTTTTGCCTGACCAGCTCATAAGAATTTAAAGAGCCCCCTGACCTAAATCCTATGCTGTCTCCACCCTACGGTGGTTTGTGGGTCTGGACCACATACAAATGCTGCAATCCCCCTCCCCCCCAAGAGGTTCAGAAATCTCCTAAAAAGGGCATCTCCGCCTAACATAAAGGGCACCCTTCTTATTTAGGGCAGCTCAGGAAATTGATCAGAGGTACTTCAGGTCCAAAGGAGATGCCAGGCAGAAGGTTGGCTAGCTTAAAATGTAGAAGCCTTCATATGCCACCCAAAATGCCCGTTATTATTGCAAAAGCTGCACTCTTAACCCTTTGTTTTCTCTTTATTCATATGTTGAGAAAAAGCACAGGAAATCTACAAGTCAAGTTTTCATATGTATAAGCGGGTGACACAGATTACATTCCTTGTGCTGTACTACCACTCTCTTGTTCAGCACTATGCCCTCCTCATTAACATACACTCACTGCCCCTAAACAAACCCAAACCAACTCACTGCCGTTGAGCCCATGCGGACTCACAGCGACAGGACAGAACTGCCCCTGTGAGTGGTTAACAGGAGTAAGAAAGCAGCCTTTCTCCCTCGGACCGGCTGGTGGTTGCAAACTGCCGACCTTCTTGCTAGCAGCTCAATGGATAACCGCTATGCCAGGACCATCCCTCAGGTTCCTATCAAATCAAGTTGCTGCTGTTAATATGTTCCCATATAAAAATTCTTGTGAGCATAATTCTCAAGGCAGCCCCCCTTTTACTAGATAAGCTAAGCTATTGTTTAGTTTTAAAGAGATGTCAGGATATTTTTGGTGTAAGGTTTAAAGATGATCTCCAGCAATAGTTTAAGAGTTTCCCCACCCTCCTTGGCTTCAGAAAGTCTACATTGTGTGGGTTTGAAAATCCGTTCTGCGTATTTCCCTTTAATTAGGAATCTTCTAAGGCATCTGTGGCAGTTACATAATCTGTCAACTTGAGGAAAGGGTGGAGTCTAGCCTGTCACTCAGGTCACAACTTGATGACCTCATTTGGAGGCACTACAGAGATAAATAGCTCATTGGGAGGCCAGACACACTCTCTCTGCTAGACATTCTTGATGATGAGCCACATGGAACTACACTGATGGAGCCAGAGCCCTGGAGCTGGAGGAGTCATGTGGAGACCCACACCACTGCTGAGATGCTTCCACTGCCACTGGATCCACAAGACTTTCCACCCAATGGCCTGTGATATTCCTGCATTTGCCATCATTGTATGTTGCATGAGTCTGAAGAGGAATTTATAGACTGGTATGGGATATATGGGATAATATCGGACTTAGGGGCTTGATCTGGACTGGGCGGGGATGTTTCCTTAATATACAATGCCCTCTTATATCAAGCTCTCTTGATATAAGACACGAGTGTCTCTGGATTGGTTTCTAGGTAACCCAGACTAACACACGTTTGATTAAAATGTTCAGTAAGGGTAGCTAGGCATCATCCGGTTCTTCTGGTTTCCTGGCAAAGGTCATAATTGTTCTTAGAGGCAATTAGCCACACATTCCATATCCTCCTCTTACCCTTAACTCTCCTTCTTACTCTATTGTTCTAGAGGAGGGGTCAGCAAACTGTGGATCCTGAGCCATATGCACCTCTTTCAGTATGTACATGTGGCTCTGAAATAAAACTGAACAAATTTAAGGGATATTATTCAGTTAATGATTTATTTGTAAAAATATATTTATTGCTAATAATTTTTAAATTGTTGTGAGGGCCAGGATTGGCTCTTCCATCTCAAAAGTTTGTCAATCCCTGTTCCAAACAAATATAGACCAACTGCCATGGCTTGGATAGCCACTTTTGACCTTTTTAAGACCCCAGGCACACTACACAACACACCAGGAGCTAAGACAGAAGCATTAACCAGGAACATTAACTAGTGTTCCCATGAAACCATTACTCAAACTCCAAACTAAGGACATAAATTCCATAAAGGATGTGCTTGTACCCCAGCAACCTCAGCAGCTTTTTGGTACTATAAAGGATGTGCTTGTACCCCAGCAACCTCAGCAGCTTTTTGGTACTTAAGCCATTGTTGCGGATGGAGGAGTGATGTAGTGGTTATGAGTTGGGTTGTTTACTTCAAGGTGAGCAGCTCGAAACCACCAACCCCGCCTCAGGTGAGAGAGGAGACTCTCTACTCCCCGAGGAGTTACAGTCACAGAACCCACTGTCTTATAGGGTCACAATGAGTCGGTTTTGACTTGATGTCACTAAGCCTTGTTGGTTTTCTTTGTTGTCACTGAGTTTTTAAAAAAGTATACGGAGTTTCAAAAAGTTTATGCAAAAATCCCACTCATCTCTTGATTCCACTTCCCTTCTTTATACTTATCACACAACTTTTGCCAATTCAACTTTTTACAGGTGTACAACTCATTGGCAGCAATTACAATAATCAATTATGCAACTTTACCATTCATCAATGTGACTTTTCCATCCTCTCCATCATCATTACTCCCCTGCTCCCTGCTCCCCTCCTGCCCCTGGTAACCAGGAATAGACTTTGGTTTCTACACATCTGCCTTTTGTCTATTTTTTAAACGTTAGATTATATACAGTATTTGTCCTTTTTGAACGACTTACTTCACTTAGTGTACTACTGCAAGCTCCAACTTTCATAGTGTGAATCAAGCCACTTTTCTGCCCACTGCCTAAGTAATTCCGTAGCACGTATACTCCACATTTCGTTTACCCCGTCATCTGCTGATGCACATTCAGGTTATTTCTATCTTGGTTATTGTAAAGACTGCTACAATGAACTTTGGTATACACATCTCTACTTCCAAAGTTTTGGGTGTATACTGTTGGAAGTGGAATTACTAGTTCACATAACAGTGGTTTTAATTTTGTTAAAAATTAAACCCGAAAAGGGCAACAAACAATCCTTAGAAAAACAAAATTAAACCCGGAAAACCATCCCACTGTTTTCCATGACCACTGTACCCCTTTGCCAGTGGTTGTCAACCTTCCTAATGCCGCAACCCTTTAACAAAAGTTCCTCATGTTGTGGTGACCCCAACCATAACATTATTTTCACTGCTACTTCATCACTGTAATTTTGCTACCATTATGAATCAGGGGACCCATGTGAAAGGGTCATTCAACCCTCAAAGGGGCTGTGACCCACAGGTTGAGAACCACTGCCTTTGCAATTCCCATCTGCAATGGCTACAAGTTCCAACTTCCCCACATCTTCAGTTATTGTGTATCTTAGCCATCCTAGTGGGAGTGAAATGCTAACTCCCTGTGGTTTTGATTTGCATCTCTGATGTCTAATGAGGAGGCCCTCATTAGGTACTCATGAACTGAAAGGCCAGGGCTTAGAATCCACCACCAGTTGCTCATTAAGAAAGATGTGGCAATTTGCATATCAAAGATTTATAGCCTTGGAAACCCATGGGGCAGTTCTACTCAGTCCTACAGCATCCTTGAGTCAGCCCTGCTTTATTTGATGGTAGTGATGTTTTATTGGTTGAGCGGCCATCTAAAGGTACTCTTTGTTGAAGGTCCTTGGCCCATTTATGATTGGGTCATGACTTTTTGTTAGGTTATTGATGTTTCCTTAATTTTTGTTATTAAGATTCTTGTCGGATACACTGTTTCCAAAAATAGGTCTTGGCTTTTTGATTATCTATATAGTAAGCCCCAGCCTACAGCAATCTGCCCTGCATCCCACTGGTCCAGGATGATAAGATCAGGCCGTTTCCCTGCATCCCTCAGAACACTTGCCCACATCTGAATGTCCCAACTATGCGATGTATTCATTCCCTCCAGCTCTTCTGTGCCTTTCTCCTCTCCGGACAGCAGGTCTTCCCCCAAAGTAAATCCTTCTAAAGCATCCACGGCCTGAGCTTTAATGCAAAAAGAGCAGCTTCACATCTAACCCACTGGCCTGATCTTATCAGTGCTGCCCAAGATGGCATTTTATATCATGTAGTCAGGCTTTTTTTTTTTCTCACCTCGGTCATAATTTGGAGAATATCTCCTCTCCTCTGCTCCCAACCTATTTTGTCCTAAATAAACGAACAGACCTAGACGCCTGCTGGAAGGTCCTTAAATGCCATTTCGCCGTGGGTTTAGCGTCTTCCGGTTCTTAATCTTGAGTTCTACTTACTTATGTGAGAGTTAAAACCGGGGACAGATCCAGTGCCTGTAATGATACCTTCACACAAACTTCAAATGGGCTTTTACAAAATCGAAACGTATTTGGCGCCTTAAAAAATAGTAAGCTTCAAGGCAGGCATGATAATTTTATGAGAAACTAATGTTCAGTCCCAGAAATTTGTCATTAAGCTTCCTTTCTCACACTTCGGGACAAAGGGCTGGCGGGGGGTGGGGGTAGGAGACAAAACTTCAAAAGGAGACTTAAGTTCACTTGCGAGTGCATTCTCAAAGGCGCAAATGGGAAAAGGGCCGAATCCAACCATGCACCTCGAACAGAGTGGCCGGTGCAGGGATGCGGCGCGTACCTGAGAGCGGCGGCCGGTCGGGCTCCTGGCCGCCGCGGGCGGGCGGCGCGGGGTTGAGCAAGTGTGCGAAGCTGGCAGCAAAGGGATTGGCGGCGAGGGGCTCGGTGCGGTACATCTCCCAGAGCAGGTAGAGCGCGGTGAGGCGCTGCGCCGCGCTGGGCAGCAGGTCCGGCTGCTGCAGCAGCATGACAAGCACCGAGCCCAGGCGAAAGTGGTCAGCCTTGCTGAAGTAGTGGTGGAAGGCTGTGGACAGGCCCTCGAAGGTGCTGCCGCCGCCCGCCTCCTCTGAGATGATGCTCAGCAGGCTCGACAGCTCCTTCGGGGTCAAGCTCATCTTGGCCGCGAGGCCCCCCGGGATTCCGTTTCCCGGCCCGGGGCCGCAAATTCCACCTCTACTGCTACTGGAGATTCCCGGGCCGCTCTTGGACGCCGACCCCGCCGCTTCTCGGCCTCCTCTTGGCTCTCCGGCGGTGAGAAGCCGGCCAGACGCCGCGCTCACCCCGCCGCCGGGCATCCACCTCCGTCCCCTGCCGTGTTTCCGGGCCGGAGCGGCCCTGGCGCCGGGTCGCTCCGTCCCCGCGGTCGTAAAGTGCTCTATTGCACGACAGCGTCGCAAACCAAACACGGGAAACCAGAGCGCCGCGGAGAGTGGGAGGCAGCGACGAGCGACAGCGAGGCTACTGGAACCAGGCCAGCAAGAGGAGCGGCGGGAGCAGGACGAGCGGAGAGGAAGCAGCCGGGCGTGGAGGCGGGACTAAGCTGGACGACAGTGTGCGGGGGCGGTCTAGCCCTAGCTTGTTGACGTCACGTGGTGGGACTGACCAGGTGAGGGTGCGGTCTGCACTAAGAAAAATACGTGGGCTGTAAATTGAGTGTGAGGGAGGGGCTTGCCCCA